CATCCTGCCCACCCCCCACATGAGTTCCCTTTAATCCAGTTAGTTGTTAGCTGAAGCTTCCCCTGGGATTTCTGCTGACAGGGCTCTGCTCCAGGGCATTTCTGTCATGCCTTGGACCATCATCTGCACCAGATCCACATATAAAGAACTGCATGATAGATGAACCGGATGGCTGAGGCAGCTGGGGGAGCAGAAGGGCCCCAAGGGAGCTCTCAGCACTGGCAGGACCACATCAGCATGCAGACAATAGTCTTCCCCCTCCCCTTCCCTACCCTGCGCTGGGGTTGGGCACACCTGGATTGAGGAGCAACTCGGGGAGACAAGCCCAGCCTCAGCCCTCCAAACCCCTTCATGTGGGAAAGCTGCGACAGGGAGGGAGGAAGGCCCGAGTTCAAATCCCTGCTCCCCGCCTTTGTAAAGATGCTTGCCGCTCCCAGCTGGTAATCGGAGCTTCCTGGCATATTTTAGTCTTAAGTCTTCATCATGCAGCACAAGAAACAGGCCCCCAGCATGCCTGGCAGAGCCGGGACTCCAACCCAGGTCGCCTGCCTCCAGCCTAGTGTCCAGTCCACTGCCCACACCTCTCCTGTCCTCCAGCGCTGCCCGCTTTTCAGCATCTCTTCTCCTACCCGCTTACTCTGTTCCCAGCCAGGGCACTGGGGAGAGCCATGGCAGAAGCGTGTCCTCTCTTGATCAGCAAAGTCAGGAGCCACGGCTGGAACGTTACTTACGCGTGGAGCGGCTCCCAGCACAGCCACGTGATCCACTTGGAGTGCCCCGTCAGCGCTCGGCCGATCTGATTCCCTGTGGCCGGGTCCCAGAGGAGTATCTGGCGAGCACAGCATGCAAGGCCATCGGGTCACCAACCACAGGCACTGTGGCACAGGATCAGTTTCACCCTCCCAGCCCAGAGGGACCACAGACGATAACAGGGGAAGGCACCAAAGGACTACTCCCAATCCCTGCAAGGCAGAAGAGCCAATGGTGGTAGAAGACTAAATTCAGCGATCAAATTGCACAGCAAGCGGCTGCTGCGCGCGGCCGTGTTTGCAGTATGCTGGGAAGGCCGGTTCTTGGACCGTGCAGGGGGCAGGTCTCCTGCTCTGCGGTGGGTCGTTTCCCCTGCCCGCGCTCTTGGAACAAGCACTCGACTGAGCACAGGACTGACACGCACCTGCCCGTTCTTGCACCCCGAGGCCAGCTTCTTGCCATCAGGAGCCCAGGCGATGCTGAGGACCCAGTGCCTGTGACCTGAGGGGGAGAGAGCAGCAGTGAGGGGAAGGCTCTGGCCCGCAGGCAGCAGTCACCTGCAAGGGCTGGGTGAGGGCAGGGGGATTCTCTGCACCTGCCCCAGCCAGGCTGCCTGGGCTCACGTCCATGCCCTGCTCCGGGACAGAGCGAGCCTGTCAGGAGTGTTTTCCAGAGCAGGCGGGCAGGGGAACCACTGCTGAACACTGCTTGGGGCGCAGCAAAGCAGGGACCTCACGGGCTGCAGGCTCCTCACGCCATGGGGGTGCTATCACCAAGCCCCGAAGTCTGCTCCAAGCCCTGGACTCTCAGCCAGGGGAAAGGAAGCTGCTTGGAGGACCCCCCCAAACCCTGCTCTGGATCCCCCTCGTGCCTAGGGCCACTCCACAGCCTCCCTCCTGCTGCACTGGCCTTTGGCTGTGAACTGTGGCGTCTCTGTGCTCAGGTCCCAGAAGCGCACGGTGGTGTCGCCAGAGCCGCTCGCCAGGTACCTGCAACAGCAACACGCAGCCTGTGTGGGCTCGGGGCGGCACATGGGACGGGGCTGCTTCCTGGCGCCTCCCCCAGGCCGGGCGCTCTCTTCCTTTCCCCTTGCCGGCCAGCCCAGCACCAGGCCCGGGCAATCCTGCCCTGCTGCCTCTTACTTTCCAGTAGGGCTGAAGGCCACGGAGACGACAGCTTCCGTGTGCCCCTCCAGGGAGCTGGTGCAGCGCATCACCGCTCGCACCCGGAACACGGCCTGGGGCTGGTAGACGATGTCGAGGACTCGCTCCGACTCCACCACCTGCCCCGCCAGCGTCTGCTCCAGCGACGTGACGATTTCGGCATTCTGGACGTAGAAGGCCAAAGGCAGCGGCTCCTCCTGGAAGACAAGAGACGGGGGCAGATTTCCACCATGCCGGCTCATCCCCCCCTTGCGCGCTTCCCCGGCAGGCGCATCCGTCCAGGGAGGGAGGTCAGAGATCCAGGTGCCCCCTGTGCCCGTCCCCTGGCGCTGGGTGAAAGCAGCGGTTGTGGTGTCCCGTGGAGCTCGTCGCCCCGAGCATCGCCCCATCTGCCCCTGCACCCCACTGCCTCCGCAGCTCAGCTGCGCGCCCACGCTGGCACAGACCTCCTGGAGCAGAGCATTGCAGAGCAGCTGCAGCTTGTCGGGCGTGATGTCGACGGGGGCGTCAAAGGGGCAGCCCAGGGCCTGGCCAGCCTCATCCTTGAACTGGATCAGCCGCCGCTCCACGTCCCCCTGCATGGCCGGCAGTCGACCCCGCGCCGCTCAGCTCCGCAGCGGCGCCGCACTCCGCACGTGTGCACGCGCGGCGCGGCGCGCACCGATGAGCTCACGCCGGCGTCTCGCGATGCACGGGGCTGGGACGGCCTGGCGGTAAGTGCAACCGGGGCGGCGGGGAGGGCCTTAAAGGGCACCCCGACATATCCCTGTAGCGGGGGACTGCAGACTGACCGGTGCGGTCCAGTGCCAGCGGTCTCTGCAAGGCAGCACGGCCACTCCCATCCCCACCCCGCGGCCTATCTATATGTTTATACAATCTATAAGTGTTGTGTCTAGACCCGAATCTCTATAGTGGGCGATTTGGGCCCGAATCATACATATCCATATATCAGTATCAACATACTAAGCTATATCATGTCTATATAGGTCTGTCATATCTATGAGATACACATACACACATCTATTACACATGTACATACATGTGTGTATATAGCTGTCTCGTATATATATACACCTCTCACACTTCCATATACAGACACGTGCAGATGGACATGTGAGGTGTGTGTATATATATCAATCCATCTCACTTATATACGAGAAATATATAGATCTCATAGATATGAGAGATCTATATAGATATGATACTGATATAGATATCTCATATACAAGAGATTGGTATATTGATATGTGTGATTTGGGCCCAAATGACCCAATATACATCCAGATATGGACATGTCTCTCATATAGGTACATCTCTCTCTCATATAGCTATAACTATAAGCATATGTGAATATAAATGTTGTGTCTGGGCCCAAATCGATTCCCAATTACATCAACTGAGCAGAGCTCAGTTGTTCAACTTTATGTGGTGCTATCATTGGCAAGGGTCTTGTCCCCCAGACCCTCCAGCCCAGGGCTTCAGATGCTCCTGAATCCATGGCAGACACCCCACGTACAGGCCCAAGCCCGGAGGTTGCCTTTATCATAGCATACAACAAACCTACTTACCAAGAAGTCATTTCTGTCCACTTCTCCCTTCCACTGCAATCTCGCTTCAAAGGAAGCCGAGTCAGGAACGGGAACAGGGAGATCACCATTTACTAGCATATTGATGTATATTTTTTTATTAAACAAGAGCAAGCATCCAAAAAGAAAGCGAGTAATAAAACCCAGTGACTGGCCTGTTGTGCGCAGAGCCCGGCTGTGTTCCTGGATCACAGGCAGAAAGCCACCGGTGTAGATGCATCGTGCTTATGGCTCATCTACACTAGCCGAGAAGGTGCATGGACTAGACTGGATAGCCCCCATTACCTAGCACCAGTTAAAACAGGACTGAAAACAAGGTTCCTTGGGGTTACAGCTCCCATAGGGAAGCCCAGGGCTCAGATCTGAGCTGCTAACTCAGATCAGGCACAGCTGTTTTACTGGTTTTTGATACTGAGAGTTTAGCTGTCAGATCCATACAGAGTGCAACCCCGGTGCTTCAGTGCATAGACCGTGTTCACAACGGTCACAGTCTGACACTTGTGCCAGTGTAGGTGACAGCATCACATTCTCCAGGAAGACCTTCAGCACCCCCGCATGGGTCTCCTCAAGATAGGCCGGCAACGTGCTTCATGCTGCCACGGCCAGGCAGGAGGCAGAAGGCTGGCTTAGTGATGCCCTGGACATTGTCAGAGCACTTAGCAGTGGTGTCCCCTTTCCCCAGCCCCCTGGCCCCTTTGCTGCAGCCAGACATGGTCAAGTATGCGCAGGACCCAAGTTATCCGTCGTTGCTGCGTTAGCCTCAGTTAAACACATTTTCTTCCAAGCACAAGCCAGCAAATAGCTCAGGATTGGCACGTGTACACAACACTGTTCTACTCGGGTTTTAGTGAGTGGCGTTTCTGATGCACTTTGCAATGTCTTGGGATAAAGTGTTAGAACTTATCCCATGAATCATTAGGATTTTTCTGGGGACAGTAGATCTGGGCAACTCTGGTGTCCCAGATGGCATAACCAAGACTGTGCAGTAGTGAAGCAGACTGCTGCAGAAAGGGGCAGGTGCCTTGACAACTTGATTAAGTCTTTGAAAAAGAGCTTTGAAAAAGAAAATGATGAAATGAGCTGAGCCAGGGTCCTTGGATTATTCAGTTTGGAATAAGCCAGCAGGTTTTGGCATGCAGCACTGCATCTCCAGCAGGAGAAAAGGGGCAACCTGGCTCTTCCAGCAGCCATGGAGGCAGGTTGAGGTCCTGGGATAGTATCTCAGCTGCTTGAGTGGAACTGACACTGCTGATGGGGATGGTGCTGTCATTCTGCTTCAGAGTCAACACCCCCCCCCCAGTTAAAATGGAGGAGCTCACACCTCTGAGCTACTCCAAACCGACTCAAGACTCAAGGATCCTCCAACATGGTAGGTGCTCCCCCCCATTTTTAAGGGTTTCTTCAGAGCTCAGTTCTAAGGCACACTTTGATACCAAGAAGTAACTTCCAGAGTTGCACCAGCACTGCAAAGACCACAGATGGGCTCCACAGGATTTAAGTTCACAGCCTGTCAAAGACACCCTTCCAAGCTGCACAGGCTTGCTGTGAATGAGGGCTAATTAGTACCAAGGGAAAGGGGAAAGTTAAAGAGCAAGTATTGCCATTAAACTGCATTGACAAAACAGGCCTCTTGCTCCTTAACCCCACGTATGCGAGGCAGCAATGCTGTGAGGAGCAACCCACCAGCGAAGGAGATAGACAGCAGCACCCAGGCAGGTTCAGATTACACGTCTCCCACTTTATTTAGGTTTCATCATAGAGTCAGTAGTGGCACATTCTAAACGTGTACAATAAAAACAAGTCCCGAGCATGGTTTTCAGAGCAGTCATCACCTTCCTTGCACAAAGAGCACGGATCCGCTGGGCAGCAAAACCAAGTCATTGGGGAGCAGCAATCCGCCTGCAGCACAGGGACATTCATTCACCAAAAAGATGGAAGTGGGCTGGAGGCAGTCAATAGCTTCTCTTTCCAGCAGTCACAGCTAGATGCTGCGACGTTAGAAGCCAGCAGGTTCAGCAAGTGTTGCGGAGGTGAAGACAAGAATCAAAATGCATGTGGATCCAAAACACGGAAACATCTGGTGCTTACTCGCCACAGCCAACCTAATGCTTTTCCCAACTGCTGGAGCTGAAGTAGCTTAGACAGGAATAGTCATGTTACCTATAAGGATTCGTTTAGTTGACAGTCTAGACAATGGCACTGGCTAGGGGTTACCAGTACTCAGAGCTTTAGTTTATGAGGACGATGAGACTTGCTTGAGGTTATTCAGGACACGCAGGCAATTATCACAGAGTGCTGCCACTCACCCTCCTACAGTTTTCAAGTTCCTCTTGCTATACAGGAATGACTGTGCTTTCATTCATCTTGCCCAGCAGCTATAGCACCAAGGAAGCTGTGCGTTACCAGGATCCACATAGCTTGAGTCAGCCACTATTAAATTGGCTTGACGCGAGCCATACAGAGGGTTGCACCAAAATACATTTAGTCAAACCAGTGCCATTCTTCTTTCCACGTTTATCTTCCTCAGTGTCTTTAGTTAGGATTGCCAGGCCCAAGCAGTTGAGCTTCCTTCCCGGTGCAGTGAAGCCTTGGAAGGATTCTGTTGCAGATATTTAGCAGGGACAGAAAGCGCAACCTTATGAGCCTGGCCTCTTCTACCCTGATCTACCACCAAGATTTGGAAGCTTTTCTTCTTTCCTGCCCATCTTCTTTAGGATCCCGCACTTGCAACAGCTTACTTTTAGAAGCCTCAGAAGCTGGGCAGGCAGGGAAAGCTCTCTCAGTTACCTGTGACAACGTGCAAGGCTCCTCACTATTTTTCCTGTCACCTCAGTATTTCAGGGGAGTAAAAGAGAATCACTGCTTTATCCTGTGCACCTGAGTAGCTGTACCCAAGCAAGGGCTGCAGGTAGTTGAATCTTCATCAGCTTAGTGCTGTTTTCCAAATCGATGTTCTTTGGAACGCTTTGCTCATTTGCTGGAACAATATCTGCCCGCTGAGAGCTGGGTGTCACTAGGCATGTCACAATTCAGACGTCCAATGACACACATCATCAGTAGGATGCTTTGGCACCGTAACAGAAAAAACTACTGGACTGAGAATCTAGAGAGACCCTCTCCCCCACCACAGCAATACAGGTGAGCATTTACAACTGGAAGACTAGCGATCAAATCTTACTTTGCACAAGCCCTGACCCATATCAGTTACCTGGATTTTCAAAACTGATGCGTAGCAGATTTCTCAATGTGAGTATAGCTACATTTTGAGCAGTCAGTGGTCAAGCAAACCAGTTATCAGCACAAAGACCATCAACAGGTCTGCCTGTCTATTGATGTGCTTTTTCCTTTAAAAAACAAAAAACAAACAAAAAAAACCTCAAAAGACTTCCTTTTATGAAAAACAACAGCTTTGATTTTACACCAATATGCATAGTTTCCACATGAAAAATTTAAAATATGCAAGATATACATATATCTTGTATATACAAGAACAACATCTGACCAGTTTTACTAGCCAAGGACTACTCGGGGATTTTCCCCCCACCACCCAGCCCCATGAAAAAGAGATGACCCATGTTTAAAAGATACGTAGGAAAAATCAAATTCCATCCAAACAGAAAACTGACACAAATTTTAATATTTATATATCTTTAAATCAAAACAATTAAATATAGTATGTTTTACGTACATGAATACTTGGGCATGAGAGAAATAAGAGGAGGTACATAGTACCAAAAAACCTATACACAGCCTTTTTGCTTCTTCTTATAGACAATACCAGGTGCCCCTATACAATCAAATATTGCAACAGAATAACAATTTCTAGTCAATCAAGGCCATCTGAGAATTGGAGGCGATTGAGAATTCTTATCAGGTGATGATTTTTTTTTTTTTTTTTGCACAAGGCTCAAGAAAAAGCAAATCGGAAGAATAAAACAAAACCCCCAAACAGAAACGTTTTACAATAAAAAGACAGTGATAATGTAACGGAGTGACACCTCGAGTGCTTCATATGCTCTGCAGAATCGATTCACTGGAGATCAAAAGAACAGAAGTGCAGGACAGGGTGGCTCTTTGTT